AAACTGTAAAGCTAGAGAGCTTGTCAAAATACTGCATCGTATAACCAGTGATCGCTCTCCCCTGATTACCGAAATTGTTGATGGTGAGGGTCACTTACTCCAAGACCCAGCAGAAATCTGTGAAGTATTCAGTGACTTTTTGCCACTACCATGAGTCACGAAGTTGCCCTGATGCCTGTATGCACAGAGCTCACAGAAACAAAGCTCTTAAGCAGTGTCGATATCTCGCTCAACGCTTTCCATCAAGTTATCAAATTAACCAGGCCATTTTCCAAGCTGGGATATGATGGCACATTACCAGCCACCATTAAACTAAGAGGGTCTGCTCTAATATTCCTACTGATGAGCATGTTCACTCTATCGCTGGAATCTGGCAAATTTACAGTCCAATGGAAGCCTCATGTATTATGTCTCGGTATAAAGGAGGTCCCAAAACAAACGATTGATAACTACCGTCTAATCCATCACACTCCGATAATCGCTCGGATATTTGAACAACTGGTCGGAAAGGAGATGATGAACTTTGTTGATCCTATTAACCTGATCAATAATTGGCAACATGGTTTTTTCACAAGCGATTGTGCACCACCTGTCAACTACACTAAACTTAACCACCTTTCAGAATCAATCGATTCCGGCTATGCAGCTGTAATCCTGTTTCAGACTATACACCAAGCATTCGACCTAGTACCGCGCAGGTGAATGTCACAGAAGTTGGAGTACTTTATGATCCGGGACCCATTACAGTGTGGGCTATAGCCATACCTGAGTAATCGTCATCAGCTAGGCACTTTATGCGATTATCGCTCGCTTCTACACTCAATCAGCAGTGGAGTCATTTAAGAGAGTGTGATCGGCTCCTCCCTATTTTGTTCTACATCAATGACATCACGACATCTGTACAACATGGCACAACAATTTTGTTTACTGACGGTACCAAACTAGTCTATAAGTTTCGGCGTGACGAGCTTCACAGGACATTATTGCTCATTCAAGATGATTTACATTCCCTTGAATCATGTCGCTGCACATGGGTGATAAAACTAGCCAATCAAGCATCATGTCTTACTGCTGCTACATCCCCGAAGGATTTATCATCCTAAACAATGAACGCGTCCCTACACAGTGGTCCGCGCGAGATCTTGGAATTAGGTATTCGTCTAGCTTCCAATTCTCCGAACAAGCCCAATACCAAGTAGCACGTGTCAGACAGTCTATGTTCAATATTTCGAACAAAATACACACAACTCCTACCGGAGTTGAGCATTTAAAGCTATTCACTCACCCCATCCTCGAATACTGCAGCAAAATATAGGGAAATATGAGGGTGTCAGAATTGCTGTGGAGCACCTGCAGAGGTTATTTACTAAACATCTGATTGGTAAACACTCTGCAATGAGTTATTGAGTACGATGCAATGAACTTCATCTCGAACCGCTTTGGAATCGACGATTGAGGCACAACTTGTTGCTGCTTTTCAACACGTTACGCTAAAAGACCTATTCCAACTTGCCTACACTCCATTTACAACATTTCTCAACTCGATCGCTTCGCAGCAAAGATTTTACATTGCATATACCGAAGGCTGGAAAGAACTTCCACTCTAATTTTTTCCAGGTCAGATACAGTTATCTGTGGAATAAACTACCAATAACACTCAGGTCATGTGCCAATGTGGCAAAATTTAGTAGCAGACTCGCCAATTACCTTGATCTAACTATCCTAAGCTCAATATTCACACGGGAACATTCCCTCGATGGGCTATTTCAAGAGAGGCCCAAAAAATTTAAACACTAATCTTTTCATAACTAGGCTTTGGCCTCAACCATCAGCCGGAATGTTAATACATGAAACGCATATCTCAATACTCCACCTATGCATGTCACCCACGCAAGAGCATGGATGACATCTGTATAAACTGATATGTGTCGCTATAGACACAGTTTCTCTCATCAAGAGAAATATACGTATTATTATTAATACTCTTATTATCATTATGTACGCATTTAGTAGCCATCAAATTCACGTTCTTGACAAAGACTTTCACGTATATCTATACAGCGATTATCATATCCCCAACAAAGAGCTAACCACCACGGTTACAATATTTACTACAAGCATCAGATAATATTTCTTTCCAATCCACTACTCAGAACATTGGAAGGAACTTTCGAGGGATATCCGAGCCAGCTTAGTAAGATGTTAACTGTTCTAAACGTGATAAATATTTTCGCGATATCAGGATCCTCAAATAATTTTTTCTAGAACGGTATCGAGGGTGCCTGAATGAATTACCAAACACATTCGTATAAACGCACGGAAAGAAGACGAAGGCTGCTCAGAAACCATAATTTGTCCATCTTAAGCTGCCTTGGACGTAGGTGTGAACTTCCGTCATTCGTTCTGCACCTTAAGCTTGTCTGGTTGCACCCACTGTTAGCTATACCTGCCCCTTCTTCTTCTTTCCGTGCTTTTCAAATTGTTGAATGGAACTAACTGCTTTAAACATTCATATAACACTTTGAACTGCAGTCTCTTTCATTTGATTTCTTCTTTCTCTCTGCCCGAACTTCTGTAATGTAACCGTGAAATAATCAGCCGAACGATTGCGATTACTTGGTGTTACCTAAATTCAAAATTTGCGCCCGTTTATTTTTGAAAAATTATTAACGAAATGGCTTGCAAAGGATGTAAAACCTGTTATCGGTTCCTTCTAGTGAACGGCTTCCAATATCATCGAAGAAAATAGTAATATTTATTTATTTATTTATCAAAAGTGATAGAACGGGCGATCGCAGATGATCTGACGCGATACTTTGTAAGTCTTCAAATAATTTCTAATATCCAACTTTATTTCAGACTCAGACGATCTTGCCTCAACAATCTGTTTCTTACTTGATAATAATTAACCCAGGCGGCTGGTGAACGAGTCCCTCTAAATGTGATATACCCAGTCGTAGATAAAACATTCGACAGGGTCAAACACTTCGTTATCCTCAACAAGCTTGCTGCCTCCGTTATTAACCTTCCCCTGCTCAAGTGGTTGCAAGGTTGCGTTCACGACAAAACAAGTAAGGTGAGAATAGACCACACGTACTCCGAAATCCTGCGCGTCTCCAGTGCTGTACCGCAAGGACCAGTCCTCCATCCGCTACTATTTTTAGTTTACATCGCTGATTTTAAGGCAGCCATTTTATCTCCAATGGAAAGATTTGGAGACGATTCTAAAATATGGAGAGCCATTCGCTCAGCAGCCAAACATGCTTATCTCCAGAACGATCGAAATCAGACTAACCAATGTGCAAAAACGAACCAGTACCACTAAACCCTACAAATTGCCACATGATGACGGTTGGTAGCAGCCACATCAACACAGAACTTTTGAGGCGACATGTTCTGCAACCCATGACCAATGAAAGCGAATTAGAAATAATCATACAAGAAAGTCTCGGTAATTCACTCCAATGTTCGAAAGCAGCAAATGTGGCGAACTTAAACTTGAAGCTTTTGTGGCTGACTCTCGACACTTTTGAGCGACTGCTTGTACTCTTGCTGAGTAACTCGTTTATTCGACCCAATTTTGAATAAGCAGTTCACGCCTGGTGTCCATGTTTAAAAGGAGAGATTTGTCTTTTGGAGCTAACCCGGATAAAAGCCAACGAGGCAACGCATGGACCATCCGGTCTCAGTTATGAACAACGCTTTCGTCTGCTCGGTGTGTTCTCTGAATACTGATCGTTTCGCTGAGACCGCATTCTGACATACCGGATACTATCTGAGAGCGAGCACCTATGTGCATCACTGCGGACCCAATCCCTAACAAACAATGCCTAGACAATCACCTGAAACTAGTAAGGTAACGCTCGCGATTGGATGGTACAATGTATTTTTACTTTCCTAGCATCTGTATTCACTGAAATGTACTGCCAACACATGTAGTGAAAGCAGCAAACATCTCGATATTCGAACTACTACTAGACTTTCATCTAAGAGATCAAATATACACAACAGTGTGATAAAGTGTAATGTCTTGGCTGCTGATAATCCACGTTCCACGTTGGAAACTTTCTATTTTAATTCGCTTTTGCATACCTATCTGATGGTTCTTGTAGAGCTATGCATTTTATAGCATGTTACACTAATGAACTACAACCGGGGAAGGCCCCACTTTGCAGCAGACCGGCACAGCTGACCACAACACAGGCCGAAGCTTATTGGCCAACCAATGAGACCGGGCCAATGGTAAGGCTTCACCTTGAACGCTGCCACTGAAGCCCGCCAGTGGGCGCTACGCCCTTCCTTTATTAACTCTTGATTCTTTCCCCTTATTTGATTTGCTTACACCACTTGCGGATTGCTCAACACAGTTTTTGCCTTAGGCTTTTTTCTTCTAATCTGGAAAATCGGCCGGTCAGTTTGTGCAGCAGCAGTAGGTTATCCGTGCAGTCAGCGGAAACTACAACAGATTTTAGCAACAGAGGTGAACTAAATCCGGATGTCAATCTCATCAGAAGACCTATTTTGTTGCAACCTATTTGGTTGAAACAGCATCAATGTGAAGCCACACAGCTGACTATACTTGAGGTTCTCCTCCGAAGGTTACCACTTCAGTCTACACTAACCCAGAACACGGTGAATTCTTCAGCGGACGCAGTGATCAGTGAGTTCATGATCAATGAGTTCGTTTTTGGTTCTGATTCTGGACTAATATTCGATGCTTGCTTCAGGCGCTATGTAGGTGCTTTCAGGACAAATTCGTCCAGTCTTGATGAGGGAACAAAATTTGGTCTGCCGTTACGAAAATTTGGAACAATTGAGCATGATAGACATCATAACTACATTTCTCGAAAGTGCGACGTTGATGTTACTTTTAGGACAAAGTTTCTTCGTCCAGAATAATGGTTGGGGACCAGTCCCCGGTTTTCAATAATTGGCACAATTGTCTGAAGGTTTGCAAGAAAGGCCGTGACAGTTTTATTGCTTATGTGGCGAAAGTGAAGCATGAATGCCAAAAAATTAAACTAATGTCCCTTACTGAGGATCAGTTCGAGTGCGTGATATTAGTGTGCAGTTTGCATTCCCCAAAATATGCCGAAATCAGAACCAGAATGCTTGGTAGGTTAGAACAAGACTCAGAGGTCGCATTACAAAATTTGTTTGCTGAAGCAGAGAGGAATAGGAATTTTAAGCGAGAGACATATTTATTGGAGGATTTATGGTTGCATACTGGTGCTATTACTGTCCAGCAAGTTTCCAAAGGAAAGACTTCAGCGAATGAGTACGAGATGTGTCCACAGGCTTAACCCCCATCTTTTTGCTGGCAACGCGGAGGTTGGCAATTTGTGAGATAGTACCCATTCAGCAAGCACATCTACCATAGAACTGAACGCAAGGAGACCCACTGCAGGTCCTAACTACCATTCCGGCCACCATATTTTGCCCAAAGCCAAGGTCAACGAAAGTTTGAAAGAAGGGTAAACGCCAACTTCTTCGACAATGTTAAAGACGGAAAAACGTTTGTCTCTGCCAGCTTCAGCGGCCGACTGGCGAATTTTCAAATTGACACGGCGTCCATCAAAGTCATGACGGAAAAATTGTGGAAAGCTGTCGATGCGTCAGCATCATCATTATACTCATCAGCTAGAGGTGGGAAACATCTCAGCTACTGTGCCGCAATACATAAAGGAAAAGGAAAATAAATACAACAATTGCATGCCAGCTGAGTTATCAGCAACAGATAGGCATCGTTCCGGTAAGCTATCTGCCGGATACTAGGCAAAAAGTAAAATTATTATGTTTTAAGATACGAAATCAGATCCGTAGGTGGAGAGGGAGGCTAAAAGGGATGGGGAGGGACAAAGAAACTAACAGCAGGAACGCCACTGAGGTCCGCTTCTCTCCATGTCAGCAAGTGTATCCAGCCAAACGTGTTCACCGTCTGTTGGACTCCAACCAGGGAGCCGTGACGCTCCAACCGAGGCCAGCTCCGAAGTGAGGGCCTTCATTCCTCTGGACCAAGTCATCGTTTGACCACCCCTCCTCTTCTTCCATCCGCATCCCCCGCACGCAAACAAAGCACGTCGTGGAAGTCGATGTGCTGGCATGCGTAACACGTGGCCCAGCCTTCGGAGCCTGGTGCGTGAAATGACGGTGCTGAGCGGTTCAGTTTCTTTTCCTGTGCCATAAACAAGGCGTCGAACAAGCTCATTAATCACGCGGTGTTCCCACCAGATGTGAGCCAAACTGCGTAACTACTGATGGTTGAACGTAACTAGCCTGTTCATGTCCACCGATCTTAGAGGCTAGGTATTGCAACCGTACAGTAAGGTCGAACGTACCGCTGCATTGTACACTCTACCCTTCAGGGCGAGAGTAATGTCGCGCCGCCGCCATGGGTGGCGAAGGTTAGCAAAAGCACCTCGAGCTTTTACTAGACGGTTCGTGATCTCGTCTTCGATCCCAAGGGCGCTAATACGACTTCCCAGATAGTCGAATTTCCGAACGACTTCTAGCTGATCTCCACCAATGGTTAACGAAGGAGGCGATCCCCGCCAATCGTAAGGGAACAATTTGCATTTCGATGGTGCAAAGCAAAGCCCGGGTGGCTAACAGCCAGTGCAAATTTGCCCAGCGCGGCTTGGCACGTCTGGAAACTGCCACAGATGAGGGCAATGTCGTCTGCATACTCCAAGTCAGGAAGTCGTTCTCCTGGGAGTAGCTCTACAGCTCCCAAGACATGTCCTGTAAATGCAATCTCCATGACTTCATAAATAGCGAATTTGAAGAGGAAAGGTGACAGCCGGCATCCTTGTCTCACACCGCTGGAGATATTGAAGGGTGGCGACAGTTTGCCGTAAGCCCTCACTCTGCCCGTGCTACGCGCGTATAATGATCGGATAATATTTATATATTTCTCGGGTACACATTTCTTGAGTAGACAATTCCAAAGGGCACATCGATCAACCGAATCGAATACACCTTGGATGTCGAGGAACACGACTAAAGTGGGCCGCCAATATGTGTGATGATGCTCCAACAACTGACGCAAGGTGAAGATGTGGTCGATGCAGCCACGGCCCTGATGAAACCCGACTTGCTCCTCACGAATCTGGCTTTCACGAGCGCCAGGCAGTCAGTGAAGGATTATAGAGGCGAGTAATTTGGAGGCGACGGAGATCAGACTGATTTCTCTATGGTTGCCGCATTCTGAACGCGAGCATCCTTTGAAGATAGGAGCAATAACGGAGCGGCTCCAGTCGGTTGGAACCGTTTCCTGCTCCCACATTTTCACTAGTAATTCATGTAAACCATCAACAAGAGCAGAGCCTCCGAATTTGAAGAGGGCTGGAGGAAGATCATCTGGTCCCGCGGCTTTGTTCAACTTCAACAGTCCGATCTCACGTTCGACTTCTGAGCGAAGAGACCCAATATCCATGTTGGCTATTAAACATATCACATGAGGATTTGCCTGCTGCTAGTAAGGTCTGGTGAACATGTGACCAGTGACCATCAATTGTCTCCAGTGATCGCTTACTCAATTCGCATGTCAGCGTACTTCGATACACATTCATAACAGCTGGCTTTATCAGTTGGCTGGGGTCAATGCGCTCACAGCGTCGTCTTGGGCGTCCGCCAAAACGCATCCGCAGGTCAGCATATACAAGTGCATGATCAGTGTCCACACATGTGCTTCAAATCGAGCAACAGTTCATGATGCAGCCTCTCCAGCGGTAACTGATAGCAGTGTGATCGATCTGCGTCCATAGCTGGTTCGAGGCTGGTGGGCGCCAAGTCGCCCTCAAGCGCGTGCTGTGTCGGAAATTAGTGCTCGCAAGAAATAAGCGGGCATCTTCACACAAATGAAGTAACCGCTCACCGCTATCATTATGGGGAGCCTACGCCGTACTGACCGCCCAGATGCATTTCATCAGTGGACAACTTTCCAACTTGCGCGTTCAGATCCCCAACCAGCACTACAGTGTCCGTGCTTCTTCTGTTACGAAGGAGCTGGGTCAGTTGGCGGTAGAAGTCGTTCTTTACCGAATCATCGCTACAGTTTGTGGTTGCGTAGGCAGCGATGATGAATAGATACCTATTAGTCCCGCGCGACTTCGAAGCTTTGAACGAGCCAGCTAATCCGACCGCACACTTCCGGATACTGATTGGAATCCAATCAACCAAAGCAGCATCAGCCCGGGGACTAAGGGCGATACCAACACCAGCTTGGCCGGTGCTCGAAGCTGCCTCGTCACCGGATAGGCGCAATGAGAAAACACTGCTTGCGGCACCTGAAGGGGATCGCAGATGGAGCACAGAGCTCGAGTCTTGCAAGCGGGTCTCCGATAAGCAGCAGATATCGATCGAGAGGGGCTCCAATGTTCGGGCAGGTGCCGCCTGTTGACCGATCTGAAGCAGTGTGTGTACATTGAGGCATGCCAATTTGAAGGAGGATCGAGGGCTCCAAATGCAAGCCGATGAACTGGAATGGACTGCTTGGTTGGACATGGGCTTGTCGAGAGAGACGGGTGACGCTCCGCGCTCACATGCGAGTTGAAATAAGGAGATAATGCCTAACAAAGCATGTTGGGGGAGGGCCAAGAATCGGGGGTTAAAAACTGGGGGGATAAGAGTGAAGTTGGAACGGGACGGTAAGAGTGCAAAGGCGTAAGAGGGGAAAAAAGAAGACGAGAAGGCTTGAGCAGTAGCATCCAAACCCCTATCCACCCTGCTCGATGCAGCAGATAGGGTACCGTTGCTTATCCTTCGCGGTGGCCAGAGCATCAAGAAATTGTTTGAGGTAAGATCCATTGTATTGCGTGGGCTGGATATTGTCAGGTTGCCCAGACCTAGACAGGAGAACCATTAGTGTTCTCAAGCAAAGCCATTGGTTCAAAAACCTGACTGCAAGGCAGCGCGTTTGGCGTTGGGCTACAAGGAGTCCGTTTTAAGGAATAAGGTGCCACCCTCATTCCAACCCCCAACCTGGAGGAGCAGGAGGCTGAGTTTGTCTGGCCTCTAAGCATTGACCAATCTGGTATGAGTGACTCTGAAGCTGCTGTCAATGCACCTGATATTAAACCGACAGGGAAACAAGCGACGAGCGCATCAGACATCAAGTTGGATCTAATAGGTCAGATTGTGTGCGAGTGCAGTTTTGCAGATTTCACCGCTTGGGTAACCATTTTATTCACAAGTCATAAAACGTTGAACCTTCTTGGATTAGACTGGTTCGAAAGCTTTAATCTCCTATATATGCTCATGAACCAGATTTGTGCAAGTGTTCAACTACACAAACCAAAGTTCCCGAATACAGTGGTTATCGGGCGCATTCGAGAGAAATATGTGGATGTTTTCGTGTGGGACTCGGTACGTGCACGAAGTTAAAATCCTCGCTGTCCTTGAAACCTGATGTCCTTCCGGTCTTCCGTGCAAAACGCCCAGTACCTTCCGCTGCAATTCCAATTATTGAGCAGGAGCTAGATCGCTTAGAGAAGACGGGTTGTTCATGCAGTGAACTACCCATTTTGGGCGACTCCAATCGTGGTAGTCGACATCTAATGGCCAAATTCGAATATGTGCCGACTTCTCAACGAGTCTCAATGTAGCGTTAAGAACACATCAGTTCCCTCAGTCGATCTGAGATGATTTGTTACCGAAACTAAATGGGGCCATGCTTTTGCAAAGCTGGATTTGTCGGATGCAGACCTGAAAGTAGAAGTTGATGTGCCCCAAAGAGAATTACCTACGATTAATACGCACCGGGGATTGTATCAGTACCATCGACTTCCGTTCGGAATCAAGCCCGCGCCAGCAATATTTCAGAAAATCACGCATCCAATGCTAACAAACGCAGACAGTGCTGCCGCATAGTTGCATGACATCATTGTCGTCGGAGCAAATGCAGATGATCTCTAGTAAAAGCTTCACCTGGTAGTTGGTGGTATACGAACGTATGGATTATGGCTGCGCCCCGAGAAGTGCACATGCTTCATGCATACAAGTACTTTCTTTGGTTTCATAATCGACAAAGATGGCGGACGCCCGGAGCAAGCGAATATCGAAGCTATTAAGAAACTGACCCCTACTGAAGATATTCACATGCTGAGGTTTTTCTTTGGATTCATCAGTCATTACAGCCAGCTTCTTTCTCACATGCACAGAGTATGTGGACCGCTTAATGATCAAGGACAAGCCCTGGCGCTGGGCCGAAGATTGTCAGAAGTGCTTTAAAGATGTGAACAAGATGTTGATATCTGAGCTCTTGCTAACTCCTTACGGCACTACACTTGCAATCGTGGTAGCGTCAGACGCTTCGAAATAAGCATTAGAGCAGTTATCCCACACAG